CTGGGGTTTGAACCCAAGCACCTGTCGAGCCATGCGCGTGCGTAAGCAGCCTTATAACACACCCGCTACAGTGTGTCCATGGCTTTGTAACACGGCACACTCGTGTTGAAGAGGTGTCGTGCTGGCTATTTACCCCCCCCTCCTTCTCCCCCCCCGGCAGCGAGTAGTGAGCAGCAACGAAGTTGCTATTTACGCCCCCCCCCCCCCAATGGCTGCTGCTGCCTGTGCACGTGGCCATCTCCACGGCCACGTGGCAGCCTGTGGTGGGACTGAAGACCCACCTGCTTAGGGGGCTACTCTACAGTGGAGAGGGCCTGCTCACACAGCAGACCCTACATTTGCACATTTGCAAAAGTGCTGCTGGGGGCTGATCAAGATCTCAGCCCCCTCTCTCCTCCAACTGGCTGCTGCAGCGAAGACCAAGACCCTCCTGGTCTTGGTGTACCTTGTGCCCTTGGAGACACCAAGGGCCAGGTATCACTCCCTTCTTCCYCCCTTCCTCTRCTAACCCACTCTCCCTACCTCTCCTCTCTCCTCTYACTCACCCCTTCTCTTCTCCCCACCTTCCACTGCATCTTTTCTCTCCTCCTTTTATCTTYCCCACCCCACCTTTCTCCCAACACCCATTCTTTTWCTCTYCTTTCTTTATTTSTTTTCTTTTCTTCCTCCTTCTTTTCTCTTTGCTTCCTGATCCCTGTCCACCTTTCCCCATCCCTCCTCTCCCCCAACTACCACCACACCATCCCCCCCTTACCTCCCACTTCATCTTTTCTCTCCCCCCACCTATTTTTTTTTCTTTTCTCCCTCACTTATTATTCCCCTTCCCCCCTTCTTCGAAAAATTTTCTGTTTTTTCTTCTTTCCACCCCTCTTTTGATTTACCTTTTCTCTTTTCCAAAAATTCGAAATTTCTTTTTTCCCACCCTCTTTTCTGATTTTCTGATTCATTTCATTTCTTTTTCTATTTATTCTGAAAATTCGATTTTCTCTACGACAACCCTAAATCTAATTAGTTGTTAGTTTTCTCATCTTCTTCCCCACCCTCTTTTCTTATTTTCTGATTTATTTTCTGATTTATTTTCTTTATTTTTGTTTATTCTGAAAATTCTTGGCGGCAACCCTAAATCTGATTAGGTGTTAGCCTTTCTTGCTTTCGGCACACGTTTTGACCCCGTGGAGGTAACGAAGTGCTGCCGAAATTTTCTGATTTTCTCTACTTAGTCTTTTCGGCACACTTTGACCCCATGGGGGTAACGAGATGCTGCCAAAATTTTTGAAAAATCAGATAACCCATTTATCCCCACCTCCTCACACACTTATTTACTTATTTATTTATTTATTATTTATTTATTTATTTTTAATTTTTTTTTTTTTTTTTT